GACCATGAATTTAATAGAAGATTTAAAATGAGGTATATTTCAAGAGTAGGACAATGAGGTAAAGTTTTCCCATTAATACAAGAACTTATTTAGTAAAATAAGTAGAAGTTTACTTCTCCTTGTTCAGTGTTCTCAAAGAAAATATAAAGACTTGTTCATTTTTCTAAAGCTTGAAGACTAACAAAATAAAAAATATATATATCCAGTAGCAGTCAATATAATAAGTACAGTGTTAGGCAAGCACACAATTTTATGTCAAATAAAATAAACTACAGAATTTGAAACAATAAAACTATTCCAACTTTTATGGGAACCTAGACAATTTTAAAAGTACAGTTTTAGCTTGATTCCATAAAACACTGGAAATCTAACTCTGATAATGGAAAAGAATAGGAGACAAAATCAAGGCCTCTGGGCTCATTGAGGTCAATGGATTTCAACACATAAAATCCTGACTTTAGTGGATTTCCTTAAACCATTGGCCTAAACATGGATACAAATGTAAATAAAATAGGCTGGCAATACACACATGTAGTCAGGACGCACACACTGCCAGTGGACCCAGAGCAAGGCTGCTGCGGGCCTTGTTCTGAGTCCACTGGCTCCACAGTCTCATAACACTCGTTCTTATATGGTCACACCAGGTATGTAATTTCTCTTCTTACAGGATGAATATTTTCATGTTAGGCAAAGCTTTTATTTCCTTTGGGATTTATTTTTCAGATAACAAAATTGTTACCTAAATTTTGCTTTAGCTGCCAAGAAACTTAGAGTCAAGTCTGAAGATCAACAGTAGCAATGGTAAGTCTTGTGGTCTCTATAGTTGTGACTACTACTTCTCTCTTGATTTTCCAGTTTAATTTATACTTGTCCTGCCTTAATTTTCTATTTTATTTATAATTATATTTTATTCTTGCTATGACCCATCTAAAATTTTTTTTGAAGAAAAGCAAAGTACAGATATATAAATAAAAAGAAGTAAAGGGTAGAAGAAAAATATTGAAGAGAGAAAGCTAATAATATAAAGAAAAATATGTTTGAACACTGACATGACCAAATTATAGGAAAGTTGTTGACTTCAGAACATTTGTCATCAAAGTTATCAACAATCATATTACTAATATTCTGATAAAGAAAAAAGTTTTATTTTTTAAATCTCCCCAATATGGAAATATGATTTAGAGATCTTAAATATATTAAGTTACTTTTTCCCTGAGGACAGTACATAGTTCTACTATGAATACAATTTAAATTCAAAGTGAAATCTTACAACTGTTGAGAAAATAACTTTATGTCACTGTTAAGACGAACAGATCAGTTTGGGCCATCACCTTTTTTCTAAAATATAAAAGTGAAGCAACACAATGCACATGGTCTCTATTGTGTTTAAGCTTTCCCAAGAAATGTCAGATATCTAAGAGGTAATTAGATGGAGGCCTGGGAACGATTCAAGTGTGCCCTGAAACTTATCTGGGTGACATGTCACTCACAGCACTGGACACCCCTGGAAGCTGCTCAGTGCACCAGACTAGTATTGATAGGACCACTGCAGTGCTGAATCTCTGAAAGCCTGTCCACATGACTCTAGTGAATGTTGAAAGACAAGGAACCTCAATCAGGAGTCTTTAGCCTAGAACACCTCCTTCACATGACAGAAATAAAACTTTAAAGATAAAAATATTGGTGAAGGAAGACAAGGAAACATATAGCCTTGCCTTAGTAGAACCAGGATGAGCTACTAAGCAAAACATTAGCTTTCTGGTCTTTTGACTTTGTCCAAATTCTTCAAAAACGATGGCCATCTCTCTGCTCTAATAGAGCATACCAGATACAGTCTCTGATCTGATGAATAATCATGTATTGCTCACTATTTTATGTATCTAGTTCATTGGTGAAGTCAGCTCTAGCGTTGGTATAATTTCATCTCCTTATGTCCAAAATTAAAATGCATTTGAAATCCCTTGATCCCGAAAGGAACCCATGGGCCTCTCAGTTACCAACTCATCCGGGGCTGTGTCTCCAGCGATGTCCAGTGTATGTGTGCCTGTGCCTCTCTGTGTGTATTTTGTTCTCTATCTTCCCCAAAAATAAATATTTTGGAGGAAAAGAGTTGGCTTAAAATACCAACTCTTTTCTGAAATAAAAGGATAGCCCTGCACAGGCTTATAAAAATTGGGTCCTTGAACACACTTTAGCTCCACTAATGAAAATAATTTATAGTAAAAAAGGTAACTATGCCTCAGGCATTAATTCAATACCAAGGTAACTAAGTTTTTATAGCATCTTTATTGGTCTTCATTACCTGAATGTCCTATGCACATTTTTGTACTTTTTATAATGTAACTGGTAAAACGCTGATAGCTTGACACTGAAGACAAACTCCACCAGTAGAAAATACAAGTTGATTCTGCCATGCACAAGGGGTGCTGACATGGACCCAAGTTTCCACTCAGCTTCATGAACCTTGCATTTACTGATTTCTTTGAAAACTTTGATTAAGATAATATTACTAAACCTCCAAGGGTGTCCTTTCTGATGAAAACATTCTGATGATATCTTATCATTTTCCTTTCCATGTGCAGTTATTCGAGATTAGAGTCAAAATGAGAACTCTCAATGGCTAAAGCAAGTCCATGCAGCCTCTCTATGGTCTGTGTGGCAGCTCAGATCAGTCACTGGACTGACATTTCTCAGCAGTGAAAAGGAAGGTCTGTATGTCTGAGCAGAAGGAGACAAGACGCCAGCTATAACCCTACCCTGACAAACGCCCCTAATTCTGTTATTTTGCCTAAAAAGTTACCATATCAATTTACAATGCTGAGTGAATCAGGCGACTATAAAAGAGTGACCATTAATAAACTTTGGTAGCTGTGCCATAAATTAATCTTACAGTAATGTCACTGACCTTATAAAATGCTGATAGTGGGAGAGATCAGTGCCCTGACTGGTGGTGGCCATTGGGCAGGTGGGCAGTATGCCAGGGTCACTGCCTGGGGCAGCAGAGGTGCTGAGGAGGGAATAGAACAAAACTACCTGGGCATCCTCAGCTGCATCCTTTATGCCTTTTCCTCTACTTCCCCCATGAAATTTCATGCCTCCATGACTTGGTCCTCCAACGAAGCCTGAACTCAGGTTCTTTATCCAACAAATGGATAAAGGATCATTATCAATTACTACCCTTATTCCCATTGTTACTGAAGAGGTTTAAGCAGGAATTGACTGGATACTTTTCTATTTAAAGACAATTACTCTGGCTGTTGGAGGATGGATTGAGTAAGGGCAAAAATGGAAATGAGAAGATGATGTAGGGGCAGTTGTAGAAGATGAGGGAGGTGACATTGGACAGAGACAAAGGAAGGTGTTCAAGCTGCACATCAGAACCCCTGAAGAGCTTTTTAAAACCTTTGAAGGCCCAGCTCTGCCCTCAGAGTACGGACATTGTTTTGTGAGGTAGCTGGAGCACCAGCACCTGTCACAGTGAGGGCTGAAGACATGGGGTGAGAGCTGAGCTATGGAGTGTCTTGTGGTCAGGTGTAGAGAGGGTACAGCAAGGGAGGTGTCTCCTCTGACAACAAGATTTCTGGCCCAATGAACTAGTTTAACTATAGCTCAATTTACAGAGAAAGAGAAGAATAGGAAGCCAGATTGTTATGTGAACTCTGTATTTTTTGACTTGGCAATTTTTTAAAATATATGCATGTCAATTCTGTGTGGGCCAAAAACTGCAAAATACTCAAACTGAAATAGAATACGTAGGTGACCAGTTGCAACATCTGCCTTAAATCAGGAAGGTTAAACTCTAATTATGGATTTCAGACTCTCATAGAAAGTGGGGGGGGATTCTTTGGAGACTCTCGGAAAGACACCATTATTACTTGAAGTTTTATTAAGAGTGAAGGTGACCTGGTCATTTGGTTCATGGTAATTGTGAATTGATCACTTCTCCCCTCCTCCCTCTATGCTCCCTTCCTTTCTTCTGAATTAAATAATAATACTCTTCTTTAAAAAGCACAAAATGATCCCCAAGGTAGCAGGTTAAACAGCAAAGCTAGGTCTCACATCTCATTAAGTCTCTAGTCTGTGCTACTTCCCTAATGTGGTTTTCAACACTTTTTCTTTTTTTGTAGGGGCGGGGTGGGCAGAGACAGTTACAGAGTTTACCTTTGAAAACACGATTTATATAGATGGGAAACTTTTCTAAAAATTTAACAGCATTCCAATGAGCCAACCATATTAATAATAATATTTAAAAAGTCAAATACAACAAAGCAGTGAATCTTGTAATAAAGTATCCCTTTGTGACAACCCCCCTACACACACACCACCCATCCAAGGAGTCTGACTTGAATTAAATCTCCTAAGATACAGGCTTATATCTTAGGAGAACTTCATTTCAGAATATTCCCTTCAAGAGTCTTCATTAATCAAAAAATCTCAAATACGTATTTTTTAATGTTATGTCATATTTATGTCATGATATACCAAGGGAGTGACTTTCACAAAATCTTAGAGATCAAGGGGCCATTAATTTGCATGTATAGTCATTTAGTTTATAATTTAGCACTCAGTTTTGTCTAAGCCTAAACAAAGTATGGATAAAATAAGAAGTTTATATCTTTCTGTTAAAATACAGGTATTACACTATTAAATAGTTATTACACTTACTAACATAAATCATATAATTGATTTCCATGGAATTGTAGGTAAGTCTCATTATTTTAAGAACCACATGAGCATAGACTTTCCCCTCTCTCCTGAATGAATGCATTTTTAATTTGTATCTATTACATAACAAAGATGATGAAGGGGTCTTCAGGAACCTTGAATGTCATACTGTAAACACATACTTCTAAGTAGGCAAGACAAGGTCATGTCTGACACATGAGTTTTACTCCTCAGAACAAATTCCATTCTCAGAAAACAAGAGCAACAGGAATGGGTATGGATCCATAGGCACCATTCAGAAAGGCAAGCGGGCCTCTAATGGAGGGTTTGCATACCTGCACCAGGTAGATCATAAACCATGCAGCTTGTCAAGGACTGTGCTGTGTGCTGAACTTCCCTTGAAGAAAGAAGCCAGGTGCCATGTCACCACAGAAGCTGAAAATCAGATAAATAAGTAAATTAATAAAACAAGATAGAAAAAAGAGTAGGGCACCTGGGTCACTAAATTGTGACAAGGCATTTTAATTAAGTGATAGACTTTGTACATGGAGATTCATCCCAGCATTTTCCAAATTCACTTCATCAAGAAACCCTTTTGTTCTGAACACCTGTCCGCTCCTGCTGAACGCATAATCCAAGCAGTTGCTGATGAAACAATGAGTTCATGCAGCCTGCCTCTCACACAGAGGTCACAGCGTCTGGTCTGTCATGTGGTCATGGATCCTCAGCTGGAAACTTTTGGTAATAACACTGGCAGTACTTTATAAGATTCCCCCCTCTTTAATGTGCGTACATAATGCACATATATTTATATTACTTATAAAAAGCTAGGTGTTGAGATTCCTTCACAAGTTTTACAGCAAAATGCAAGAAACTGCTCACCTTACTACTTTAATTTGTTATTTCATAGCAACACGTATTTGACATTCACTCATCATTATGATCAACAGTCACTGAGCAAATAACCTGAACCAGGGCTGAAAAAGTGAACAGGGCTAGGTCCTGCCCTAGAATGAACCTAGACCATCAAGGAGGAAGGCCAAGCTGGATGCAGGGTGCAGGGGTTCTGACGTGCATCCCCACGCAGGGTGGCAAGGACTAGCGACTGCCCATCCATGGGCCAGAGAGGGCACAGAGGTGGCCGAGTTGAATGCTGAGTCAAGGGTGTCAGACAAAGGGAGGTGGCGACGTGGAGGTGGAGAAGGATATGTAGGCAGCATGTCAGGGAGAAACACATGTTCTGAGAGCTGCCATGAGGGCTCTGCAACAATGTGAGGGACAGAGAGCATATACAATCCCAATCAGAGCATCCTTGTACAGATTTAAGTGACTAAATCAGCCCAACAGTACAAACAAAAGCACCTGCCCCAATCATTGTATAGAATTTGAACATTTTTCCAAAATCCTTATAATGTTATCTCATTCTGGCTCCATGATCTGTCTGCCAGGTAGGACAGGTCGGAGAGTACACCTGTGGTTGGGGGCCTGCCCCAGACCTTGGAGGGATCAGAGGCTAAGGTGGAGCCAGGCCCCTCTGCCACAGAGTGGCACATGCGGTGTGACCGCTGGTCACTGGTGCTTCATGACAAGGGCTGCAGAGTGGGCTCCAGGCAAGAGTGGGCTGCTTTCACTGTCACCCTCCATGACCAGCTTCAGGAATGTGGGCGTGGAGTAGACACTGAGGCTGAGGCCGAGGCCACATTTTTTCACCTTGTGAGTTCTGACACTTTCAATGATAGACTTCTCATAAAGCCACACTGCAGACAGGGCTGGCTACTGTGCCCTGCCCAGGAAAATGACAAATTCGGGGGCGAGCCCCAAGTCCTTCTGCAGACAGACCTGCTGCACAGCAGCCTCTGTCAGGCCTGCACTCTCAGCCCTGACAGGCCAGTGCTTTACTGCTCCGCGGCTGTGTGCGTCGGGACGGGGCTTTGCTGCAGTCCCGAAGTTCGAACTGGTGTGTCTATTCAAGCAGGAAAGAAGGTCAGTGCTGGGTTGTAACATGTAAAAATGGGAGAACAGGCTAAATAATATAAAACATGAGGAAACTTTGTTTATAACACAGAGAGAAGCCTGAGTTAAAAAACTGCCTAGAAGAGCCTTGGATTTCCAATAGGATGAGAAGCAGTGTTGCTGCAGCAGGGAAGCTGCGGACGGGTCCCTCCCCCTCAAATGAAGCTGCCTGGAGTGTGTCATCGTCCAAGTGCTCACCATGGAGGTGACAGAATGAAAAATCTTTCAGCAGCCCCCAAATTGCCCTGCCCTGATGAAAGATGAAAATCTGTATTTTCAATGCTTTTCCAACTCAGAAACTGTATATACCTCATGACAGTAAGAGGTCATTCTGACTTTGAAGAAGGGGCTCCCTAAAGTCAGCTCCTGCTAGAAATGCCGTGCACATGGAGACAGGCCCAGGCGGCAGAGCGGCAGTGACGCCCAGGAAACAGACATGGGACATGAGACAGACAAATCCAAGGGACGGTGTCATCCAGATACGCAAGTTCTAGCCGTTACAATTGCTTGACAAACTACACTCGTTACCATTAAAGTAAGCTAGTTCCTGGCTAGGATGCAACAGATAGAAGATTTGGCTGACGTGTTACCTGAAACCACAACAAAGAAACAGGTAAACAAACAAATATCCCTGAGAAATTGTACAGAAGAAAAGTTGGATAAGACATTGAAAAGAGAAACTGGGCTATACACAGAATTCCCAAATGAGGAATCCATGAGAAGCTGTTCATTTCGAGTGCATTTCTCATTTGTGTGAACACTTCAGTAATTCACGGCACCCTGCAGATGTGGCCTCAGCCGGTCACAGCCTGTCTCTGCCAGTGCTGCTGAGCTGCAGCTGGGCTCCCCAGAGGCGCTGACAATCAGCCTGAGGGATGGAAACCCAGGGTTTATGGAACTTTGTACTGAAGGACCTGCATCATGGCTGATGCTGGCAAGAAGTCAGGGAGGGTCTGTAGACAGACAATGGGGACAGACTGAGAGAAGGACAGGTGACAATTCCCTGTGCAGCACACCACACCCAGCACTGATGAACTCACCTGATTATTCCAACAGCCTGGTGAAGCAAGTGTCCCCATCAGCAGTTTTCAAATGAAGGGATTAATTTTTTTGAGAGGTTAATTCACTTCATACGCAATGGGAAGTGGCCTGAGTAGGGGTGTGAACCTCCTATGCTTGCCTGACACTTATTTCCCTAATTAAGCCGCACTAATTCTCAATCAGTAAGTGGTATGTAAATTGTAAAAAATCTCAATAGCAAGCAAAGATCCTAATTTTTAAAAATGATATAGACTGCATTAACTACAATTATAAAGAGTAAAATGCAAATGACACTATTGGGGAAACAATTGATGACTTCATATTTCTGGTGGTAGCGTAGAAACACACAGCCCACTGAATCCCCAGTTTGACCCACACCTATTTTAAGAGTCCGTAAATGTGTTCATATCTTTGGACCTAGTAATCCTACTTACAAATTACCTCAAGGTAAACATTCAAAATTAGAAAACAGTACACTGAGGAAAATGTTCATTGTAGTCATAACAGTGAATAAAAGAAACTATTTGTGTATCCCACAGAATGGCATCTGCAAAAAAGTTGGTATATTAAGTACATGATATACTATTAAATAGACATTAAAGTAATAAATAAGTCCCAATATGGAGACTGATAAAGGAAGCAGTATATAAAATTTTATGTCCTGAATATAAGTAGGTACAGTACACATATATGAATAAATACTGGATGGGTGACCAGAATAAAGAAAATAGTGGTGCTAAGTTAGAATAGTCATGAATGCATTTTTAAATCTTAGTCACAGTCTCATAATATAATTCCAAATTGTACTCATTTAAATTATCCATTGAAAAAAAGGATAGGCCCACGAACATGATGTAGTACGAATATGTTTACATGGTTCAATGGTGTTTTAGAATATACAACATTTTTTGTTACATCATTAACAATTTGATTCTGGAAGAGGGAGAAGAAGATACATTTAGCATAATGAGGGGCGGGGAGGCGGGAACAGAGGTTGGCAAAAGCAGGCTAATGGTTCTTTGTATGGGAAAAGACATGCAGGTTATAATTATTACAATAGCTTTATTAACTCAAAAGAATGTCACTTAAAACTGTAAACCTACTTTTGCCAACCCCATATATTTTAACAGAATGATGACAATCAATTGCTCATAATATCAGTCCTTGGAAACATAAGATAAGATGGCAGTAATAGGAAGATTTGTGGACACAATTGCTCCTGAATGTGACTTTATGGGTCCGTGGTCAACAGTGTCTTCCACTTGACCCCTGGCTCGTGCCTCCTCCCACTCCCTGCGCTCCACACTCAGGGGAAAGCTGGAGACGCTGGCCGAGGAGCAGATTCTCCCACTTCCTTTCTGCTTTAAGACATTGCCCGCATCCCCGCAGGGCCCCTTCCACCTCTGGGAACGTATTTTGTCTTTGGCTGTGCAGAAAGAAGGTGTGTTTGAAGAAACAAAAGCTAATTTTGGGCTCCTTGCTGCTGTCTCATGTAAGGAAAAGGGCACGCTAGCAAGTGTTCACTCTGTGTCAGGCAGCATCCTAGACACCCTCTCTAGTCTTGGTCTCACTCCTAGGTTTAGGATGTCAATTCCAATCATTTGCTGCTCCAGAATATCCTCTATCTTTTAAAAGGGAGACAACGGAGCACAAAATTTACCGCCCATCTCCTGGACCTTGGAAAGCAAAGAACTTTCTAAATTCATAAATCTCTCAAATTATTAGAAACTCACAAACCACATCCCTTGCCCCTCCCTCTGCATAGTGTTTATGCATTTGTGTCTAAAAGAAAATGCAAAATCAAATTTAATTTGTGTACTATTCAATGTCTTTTGACGAGTTAGCCTCTCCATTAAGCCTTCTTCCCCTCTTTTTTCATGGGGTGGGGGGAGGGGAGCAGAGAAAGAGATGCGACCTCAATAAACTCAGAAACAGAAGACGGTTTACATTTCTAGACATCTGGACATGGCTTGGTCTATCTCCTCTGACCTACGGGGCAGGGTTCCTCAGCATGTGAGTGTCCTTAGCCCTGCTGACATTACTAGTCAAGTTTGCCACTGGCACACATGCCATCAACTTTTTCTTGACCTTAAACACACCTCTGCTAAATTCAGCCTCATCCTGCTTCCTCCCTCAGGTCTGGCTGTGATGCACATTCAGCCCTGAGTGATGCAGCCCTCGGGTACAAATCGTCTCCTGCTTGCAGGACGGCACTCCAGCCCCAGTGACAAGCTGCACAGCTGCCTCGGGTCCTGCTATGACACACCAGAACCTATGTTCCAGGGCCTCCCTCTGACGGACCAGGATGAACTGCTAAGTTCACAGGAGCATTCGCATGGGCTGCGTGTGAAGCAGCTCTGGGTCTTGACACAGCCCGTTTT